TTCCCACCGACCAGCGTCGCCAGCCCCTCAATGCCTACAGGACCAACTCCTGTGCAACGATGTGGGAGATGGGGAGGCCGAGGAGGTTGCCCGCCGAGCTGGCGGTGGCCGGGATGCGGGCCTCGCCGGCGCTCGTAGTGTGTGGCCCCCGCCGGCTGGATCTGCGGGTGGCCTACCCGTCTCGTGAAGCATCCGGCAGTTCTGTGGATGCTTCGCCCGCATAGGTCGCTGAAGTGAAGCCTGACGGCGGGTGGGCCGAGCTGTTCCCCTCCCTCCGCATGTAGCGGCAAGGACAAGGACAGCGAAGAAGGTGCACATTTCTTCTTGCACCTCTCCTCTCCCCCCTTTCAATTTATATTCAACGTACCTTACCTTGACTGGACATGACGGGTGAGCAGCAGGGCAGCAAAATCAGTGGACCTCACTCCACAATGTACCTAATTTCCACCATACATCAAGATTATATTAGGACCATGTAATGCAGAGCTAACGAATTACTCACCTACGCGGAAAGATGGAGCGAGCATTCATATTTCACATTGTGTTTTAGTCGCCGGAGCTATCATTTGCTTGCGGAAGTGAGGCAGGTGTGGTACATTACATTTGCGGTCGCCGGAGCTATCATTTCTTCAGTTCAATCTGTTGTGTTTGTGATGAGCATGTTGACGTCTCGGGTGGGCAATGGGCCCTATTCCGCCATCAATGTGATAGCATCAGTTGTGTACTATCACTGTGATTGATACCCACTCCACTCTTCCTCTTGCCTCAAGATTTAGTTCAGTTGATTCCACTTAGTGCCCACATTGATGCACCACCTTTCGCCAACCAGTGCACGCACTTCCCCTCTTGGCTTCCTCAGCTCCGGTGACCAGCGGGAAGCATCTCTCTCTGTCCCAGGTAATAAGATCTATCTCCCTCCCACCTTAGCCTTGGTTCCTTCCCTTGTGCATTAGTAGATCTGTTCCTGTTTCCAGCCTTAGTGGATAGTGGATTCCTCGCCGCCAAGGCCCTCCGCCCCCGCTGTATCCCCTGTGCAAAACTGTAGAAGCAGGGGCAGAGCAGAGGAGCCAGAGCAGGGACTGTAAAAATCGTAATCCTGGACCTGGGGTACAACCCCCATATCTAGTGTCAAGTATGTGCTGAATTGATGGATCAGACTATAATAAGAAGTTTAAGATTGTATTTTCTGTGTCAAAGTATTTTTGTCACTTGAAGATTTATTTTGCTTGATTCTGCTCACATTCATGCACCACCTTATCCCTGCCTCTTAGTCTCCTCCACATTCTCCGGTTGGTGGCTTGATGGATTCCACGCCGTCGTTGGCCTCACAGGTTCTCCGGCTCATTCATCCCAGAGCGCACCAAATTAGGTTGCCCCTTGTGCTGTGCAGCCCCTTCCTTCTACAGGATCAATGGTGTGTGGACAGAGCCATTTTGGGTATGTACAGACATGAGATGAAGTTCAGTGATTTGTACCGACATTTTTCGACTCTTGAACAACCCAAGTGTAGTAAGGATGACAGATTTGCACTTCACCGTTGACTCTCAACCATGGTTTTTAGAAGCCAAATCGGTTTGCGGCTAAACCCTTCCTTAATTACCTGCCCCAGCTATCACTTGTTTGTTTGGGGCAACAGAGGAGTGGAGTAGGAGCAGCAAATGTATAATCCTAATGCTGGAGCAGGACCAGGGCCAGATGCAAACCCTGGCTAGTCTCAAGGCTGCGTTGTACTGTATGACTCGGATCATAATGAGAAGGTTTCCCTATGTTGAGATTGTGTTCACTATGTCCAGTATTTATTTAATGGGACTGCATTTTTTGGGTGGGTTCTTGCATGTTTACACAGGGCTTTTCTACAGTACTAGCTACTGGATGAACTTGATCTCCTTCCTTGCGCCAATGATTTATTTATAACGATGATTGATATCCAAATTTGCTTCCTGCCACATTCTCGCTCGCCGAGGTTTATTCTTTTTGTCTATGCCCTGAAGAGGTACCTTGTAAAGGACTTTCTGATGTATTGGTTATTTTGGTGGACTACTTGACTGACGGGCACGCTTTCCTGTTTTCTGCTGACGGATAGTAAACTAAGTGGGCAAATCAGGAATTAGAGGACAGGAAAATTTGCGCCCATTAAGTAGGTCCTGCTAAGTGGGTAAAGTAGTGTCGTCGAAAAGTACACGAAAGTGCGCATCCATTGGAATGGCTTATTCAGAGCTTCAAGCATTCTGGAACCATGCTGCTGGCCCCAAAAGAAGTTAGTGGCATTCATACCTGCATTTGTTTATGTCTCTTTCTTGGTACTTGCCTCTGATTATTTATAACTGTGCGCACTAGCAACGTTGATAATGACTCCTCAGAGTCGACGTCAGGATATACTGTACTCCTCCTTTCTTACAGAATAGGCAGGATACTACACGCCATTGGGTAGAAAACATTTAGCTGATTATCGGACTAATGCTAATTCGATGAATCAGGCTGGTCTACAACAGAGATGCCTTTTGGCAACCATGTGAACTGTTACAGTATGATGAAGGTAGAAATCATTTCCAGAGGCAAGACAGTCTCAAGAAGGAAAAATCAGATACAGATACCCAATGGATACAGATAGCTCAGCTGTCCGCCTATGCTAGTTCAAACTATAAAAGTCACTGATTTTTTTTCGGTATGTACATTCTTTCCAAAGCTGGTTGTTACATCAGCTAGAAACTTGCTGCTTCCTTTGTGGAAGACCTAGAAGCAAGCGCTCCGTCAAAATCTGTATGCTTCTATAGTTGTTCAGAAGCTATTAGGCTGTACAGAATCTCTTTCTTTTGAATATGTAATATATGGATGCAATTTGAAGGAAATTATGTTACCTTTCCCTGCAGGTTGAGCGTCAGTGGGGTCATATGTTAATCTTGGTCATAGCTTTCCCATCTATGAGGATGTTTCATGGAAATCATGAGCAGGTGATGGCGATGGAGAGAGAAAAAAGATTTTGATGGGCTAACTCGATGCCCACCAGACCACCACCATGTTGATAGTTCTCCACTCCTGCACGCAAGGTAAGAAGAAGAATGTGATTGTAACTCGTGAAGTTTCTGGGGTAACAAACTGGTTGTTCTTATTTAGTTGCACAATGGTGTTGTATTTGCAGAGTCCTCTACTACTGATCGGATTAAATAGAGTTATGTATCCGCTGCTAAAGCTTTTTTGATACAGAATACCCCATTGTGTGATCGCTCATAACATGAAAGATGCGTCTAGCCTACTTTCTGTACTTTCTGTCCGCATTGGTTACTATAGTTAGTCTATTAGCAAGTCCAGTCAGCTAGACTTAAAAAAAGAGCAAGTAGTTGGATCAGCTCGACCATTGCCTCATTAACTAGAATCTCTCCCAGGTGATAGATAAGATCCACTTCCCACCAGCCTTGTCCCTGCCCCAGTGGGTCTATTCGTTCTCGCCTGAGTTAATTGCATGGTCGGATCGATGGATACCTACCAACGGACACTCCCTGCTTACTTTATACCACCAATTAATGATACCCAAATTTGCTTTCTGGTATATCATATTCTCGCTGTAAAGGAATTTCTGATAGCTTAATTATATATGCTGGACTTTACAGACATTTCTTTCCTGTTTTCTGCTTTTAGGTCTGCAGTGAAGACAGTAATTCAGTGGGTAAAGCAGGGAATGTCATGGAAATTACTCAATCATCAGACGTGAGATCAATACAATAGCTACTTGTCGATGGCAACCAAACCCATGGAAGAGAAAAATGCTAGACAAGGAAGGTTTAGAAGAAGAAGAAAATGAGAAGCACACGCTAGTTTGTCAGAGGCCCTCTCGGGTTCTTGTTGTGGTCACCATCTGCAGACTGTGTCGCTACATTGGAGGCCATAGAAACAGCGCAAGGATTTGGAGAGATGTTATGGCTGCAAATGCCATATGAAACGAGAAATGTTTCCTAGTGCATGCAGATAACTCAACTGTCCGCCTTTACTGGTTGGAACTACAAAAGTAATTGATTCTTAGGTACGTACATTCATTTCAGAGCTGGCTGGTATATCAATGATGAGTGTTATGAATTCGGTGATATGCACTCCAGTGCATTAGCTAGAAAATTGGTACTTCCTTTGTTGAAAACTTAGAAGGAAGCACTCCGTCAAATTTTGCGTGTACACTCCTATAGTAATTTGAAAGTAACTAGGCTCTACAAAATCCCTTCCTTTTGAGTATGTAATTTATGGATGCAGTTTGTAGGAAGTCCTATTTTCTCACGATTTCCTTGCGTGTGAAAGCATGAAGAGCCAGCGATGGTGATGGATACCAACTGGTTGTTTGCATTTAGTCCTCTGATACTTTATACTTCAATTATCATCAGTGAGCTGTTTCCACGTTGGTTACTGGTTAGTTTATTAGCTAGTCCATCTCAGCTAAACTTAAAGAAAGAGCAAGTAGTTGGATCAGATCTGTTATTGCCTTGTTGACCTGCTGTTTGGGGATTTCTACCTCTCATTCTCTTGCAACACAACATTGTTAGCTCCTACAACTTTGCCTTGTCTCTGCGCCTCTCTGCGCCGTCTCCTACAGCTCTGCTTCTGTGTAAGCTCACCACTATATTCTGATCTGTTATCCTCTACAAATCTGACTGTAGCAGGGTTCTTTTTATTATCTTTGTTGTTGCAACCGGCTAATTTATTTTGTGATTTCTCAGTCCAACAGGTGTTCATCCATTGGTATATTGACTGGTTATTTCTACCTCTGATCCAGAAGCACTTTCAATTGCTCATCTATCGATATTCAGGTCATTTCGCACTCTGAAAATAGTATTCTTAGTCTTTGCCATCGTCTATTGATCTACCAGTAGGTTTCTGTTTTCATATCACCGTTGCAGCTGGCTAATTTATCTTGTGATTTACTGCTTCAACAGATTTTTCATCCATCACTGAGTCAAGAAACAGTTCCTGCTCTATCTTCAGCTTATTCAGACCAAAAAATAAAACCCCACAACTCAATGGAAGTTGCATTAGCTAGCGCTGCCGTAAGTGTTACCTTAAAAGTGGCCGCATCTCCAGCCTTGAAGAAGCTGCTTGCTAATGCTTCAATGTACCTTGGAGTGGACATGATGCATGAGCTCCATGAACTGGAGACCACTATCATGCCGCAACTCGAGCTGGTGATTGAAGCAGCAAACAAGGGAAACCACAGGCCCAAGTTGGACAAATGGCTTCAGGAACTCAAAGAAGGCTTCTATATGGCTGAAGACTTGCTGGACAAGCATGAATACAACCTTCTCAAGCGCCAAGCAAAGGGCAAGGATTCCTTATCAGCCAATGCTTTGTCCATCAGCAGCACTTTTATGAAGCCTGTGCGTGCTGCGTCGAACAGGCTGACCAATTTGAGCTCTGAGAACAGAAAGCTAATTCACCAGCTGAATGAACTCAAGGCTACCCTGGCGAAAGCCAAGGAATTTCGTGAGGTGCTCTGCTTACCAACTGGTTATAATGCAGAGAGCCCCGCCATACCATCAGCTGATGTTCCTGAGACCACATCAATATCACCTCTGAAAGTGATTGGTCGTGACAAGGACCGCGATCGTATAATAGATAGACTCACCAAGACAACTGCTACTACTGAGTCTAGTACAGCCATGCACTCGGGTTTGGCCATTGTTGGAGCTGGAGGCATGGGAAAGTCCACCTTGGCACAACTGGTTTACAATGATACAAGGGTTAAAGATTATTTTGATGTGAGAATGTGGGTAAGTATCTCACGCAAACTTGATGTCCGTCGTCATACACGGGAGATAATCGAGTCTGCCTCTCAGCGGGAATGCCCACGCATTGATAACCTTGATACTCTACAACGTATCTTGTCGGACATACTGCAAGAATCAGGGAGATTCCTGCTTGTGTTGGATGATGTTTGGTTTGAACCTGGCAGTGAAAGGGAATGGGATCAGTTGTTAGCTCCTCTAGTCTCCCAGCAGATGGGAAGCAAAGTTTTGGTAACTTCTCGACGGAGTACATTTCCAACTGCTCTTTACTGTGCCGAAGTGTGTCCTTTGGAAAACATGAAAGATACTCACTTCTTGGCACTCTTCAAACACCATGCTTTCTCTGGAACAGAAATCAGAAATCATGCAAAACACGGAAGATTGCGTGAAAAGTTGGAAAACTTTGCAGAGAAGATTGCTAAAAGGCTTGGACAATCTCCTTTGGCGGCCAAAGTTGTGGGTTCCCAGTTGAAAGGGAAAACCGATATATCTGCATGGAAGGATGCTCTAACTTTAATGATTGACAAATTAAGTGAACCTATGACAGCACTGTTGTGGAGTTATGAGAAGTTAGATCCATGTCTACAGAGGTGCTTCCTATATTGCAGCTTGTTTCCAAAAGGCCACAAGTATTTAATTGATGAGTTGGTTCACCTTTGGATGGCAGAGGGCCTTCTTGATTCATGCGATCGAAACAAGAGAGTGGAAGATATTGGGACGGATTGTTTCAAGGAGATGATTTCTGTTTCATTTTTTCAACCTGGCAAAGATCGCAAATACTTTGTTATGCATGATCTCCTTCATGATCTGGCAGAATCACTCTCGAAAGAAGACTACTTCAGGCTGGACGATGATAAGGTGATAGAAATACCATCCACAGTTCGGCATCTATCTGTCCGTGTTGATAGTATAATGCAACACAAGCAAAGTATCTGCAAACTACATCATTTACGCACTATTATCTGCATAGACCCCCTAATAGATGATGTAGGTGAACTTTTTAATCAGATACTACAGAATTTGAAGAATTTGCGCGTATTATTTTTGTCATCTTACAGTAGTAGCAAGTTGCCAGAATCTGTTGGTGAGTTGAAGCACCTTCGGTATTTAAACATCATCAGAACACTGATTTCTGAATTGCCAAGATCATTGTGTACTCTTTACCACTTGCAGTTACTTCTGATAAATGATAAAGTTGTGAGTTTGCCTGAGAAACTCTGTAATTTAAGGAAGTTACGGCATCTTGACTGGCATGATTATAGAATGTACGATCCAAGGAGAAAAGCACTGCCTCAAATTCCTAACATTGGCAAGCTAACTTCACTTCAACTGTTTCAGAAATTTTCTGTGCAAAAGAAAATGGGATATGAATTGCAACAGCTGAGGGATATGAACGAGATTCGTGGCAGTTTAAGTGTCACAAATCTTGAGAATGTCACTGGGAAGGATCAAGCCTTAGAATCGAAGCTGAATCAGAAAAGTCATCTTGGCAGTTTGCGACTTGAATGGTGTTGCCAGAATAACACCAATGCAGAGGATAGTTTATATTTGGAGATTTTAGAAGGCCTGATACCGCCGTCTCAACTTGAGAATCTTACAATTGACGGTTACAATTCTTCAAAATATCCAGGGTGGTTACTTGATGGTTCGTATTTTGAGAATTTAAAATCTTTGAGGTTTAATAATTGCAGTGCGTTACAAAGCCTGCCATCCAACACTGAGCTATTTGGGAATTGCTCTTCACTTTTCCTCTTAAATCTGCCAAACCTGAAGACATTACCTTGTCTTCCACCGGGCCTTACGTGGTTAGGAATATCCAATTGCCCACTGCTTATATTTGTTTCCAATGATGAGCTGGAACATCAAGAGCAGAGAGAGAATATCATGAGTATAGACCACCTGGCGTCACAACTTGGTCTAATCTGGGAGGTAGATTCAGGATCACATATTAGGAGTGTTCTCTCATTGGAACATTCATTTCTGAAGCAGCTGATGATATTGATGCATGCTGATGTCTCACGTGTTCATAACCTTGGAAGTGTCCTTGGAAGAGGGAAAAAGAAAGTATTGGTAAAAGAGGATATCATCAACGCATGGATACACTGTCACGAGCAGATGATGAGTCTCATGCATGGAAGTAGCATTAGGCTGCCACTGGTTCCACCATCGGGACTTCGTGGGCTTTCTCTTTCTTCATGCAGTATTACAGATGAAGCTCTAGCTGTTTGCCTTGATGGCCTAACTTCACTGAAAAGTTTGTCCTTGCAAAAAATTATGACTTTCACTACACTTCCTTCAGAAGAGGTCCTCCAACATTTGACAAAACTTCACAGCTTGTGCATTGTAAGTTGCTGGTGTCTCAGGTCATTAGGGGGTTTACGAGCTGCTACCTCTCTTTCAGATGTTAGCTTGAGTTCCTGCCCTTCTTTAGAGTTGGCACATGGAGCAGAATGTTTGCCATTATCCCTTGAGAAACTCAGTATAAGGAATTGCGTGCTTGCAGCTGACTTTTTCTGTGCTGACTGGCCACATGTGAATCGTATTTTCATAAGCAGTTGCAGAAGCACCACATGCTTATCAGTTGGTAGTCTCGCCTCTGTTGAATCATTCTCACTGTATCACTTGCCAGATTTATGTACGCTCGAAGGATTGTCTTCCCTCCAACTTCACCACGTACATTTGATTGATGTTCCGAAACTCACCCCTGAGTGTGTCTCGCAATTTCGAGTCCAGAAGTCACTCTATGTTAGCAGTCCTGTAATACTCAACAACGTGCTCTCGGCTGAAGGTTCCATCGTTCCAGAATTTCTCTCTCTTCAAGGATGCAAGGAACCATTTGTTTCGTTGGAAGAATCTGCAAATTTCACATCAGTCAAGACCCTGAGATTCTGTGGTTGTCTAATGATTTCCCTGCCAACAAATCTGAAGTCCTTCTCCAATCTGAACAAGCTCGACATTTATAGCTGCCCCAAGATATCATCTTTATCAGATCTGCCATCCTCCCTCCAGCACATAAGTATATGGTATTGTAGTGAGCTCTTGAAGGAGAACTGCCGAGCACCTGATGGAGAAAGTTGGCCAAAGATCGCGCATATCCGCTGGAAGGACTTAAAGTGATTTAGATTCCCACCTACAAATAAACGGGAAAGGTAAATGAGCTCCCGTCAGCCACCTTTGCACTCTCAAAGATGTATATAGCCCTTCGTAATATATATGCACTTAGTTAATTTTTTATATCTTTCAAATACTTCATTTATTTCAAAGTTTCATTCATTTGTTTACTTCAAATTAATGGCAGGCCTAAGATGTGTCCTGTCCAGCAGCAACCTGTTGTGGGGTGGAGTGCCCAAGGCTGGCTCATCTTACAGTCCAAGTGTGTCTCCTAGTTCATCGGCTGGTGATAGCCTCGGTTGCTCTCCTGCTTCACTGATTGCCCCACGCTTTGCCCTCTCGCACTCCACCACCTCCTGTCCTCTGGTGCCACCGTCACTAATGGTGGATTATGTACTTGTGTTGCCAGTTATCATTTTATTCATGCTATTATTCATTGCCGAAAGCAATCTAATTTCCATCTTGTTATTGCCGAACGCCCTGTCCTGTTAGCCTCTCCTTCAGTCCGTAGTACTTTCTGTGTGTACGGATTGTAATTTTTGTATCTTCTTATGACATATCTGTGGATAACTATGTGACATATACATGAGCAGCAGTTTTATGGGATGGCTGAGGCCTAGATAACTCTTGTTTTCTGTTTTTCTCGAAATGTGTGTATGAACAATGTGGACATGGTTTTCGTAAACGTGGTGTCGGTTATCTTTTTCTTCAGGCCATTATACATTGACGGAACAATTGCTGAAGTTAGTCTAATATGCACCTTCTTATTGTCGTTCTGTTGTACTACCCTCTTCTGAAGTACGTCATACTTTTGGTTTGCATGGATTGTAATCGGTATATCTTGTGTGCTGTCACATACTTCTGAATAAATGCAACTGAGTTATGTGATATACATATACTTCAAGTCCGCGGTGCTTGGGTTTCATAATTGATTTGACGTGCCTTGTGCCATGATCTGGTCTAGTTGGTCTAGACAGCCTGCTGTTTCAGATCTGCAGGGCATGTGCTTTTTTTCCTTTTCTAGTTGCTCATTCCCTGCTCTGTTTATTTATCTCATGTAGTATGTATGGGCACTTCCATATATAGCTAGAGAGCCGGCTGCTTCAGATCTTGAGGCATTGTCCTCATCTACAGACTTCTGTCATGAGCATCATAGAGGCATTAAAACTATCTTCTCGATTGTTCTACATCTGAATTAAAAAAAAATGCTGACAGGCGAAAGGCAAGAACTGGCTCATACTGACGGTGCGCCATTTGGTTCAGTAGCGAAATGCTTACTTATCTAATTTTATACATTAAGCACCAGTTTATGGTATGGGTGTATGCTGATGCCTGCTAGCAGATAACTCTTGTTTTGCTGTTTTCCCTTTGATGAGTGAGTGCTCTGTTTTTCTGGTGCCATCAGTAAGTCTATGAACAATATGGACATGGTGCCTCTGCTGGGAGGCAATTGTGAAGACTGCGGCTAATCTCGAATTACCAATGCCTGAAGAGTGCTCAGCTGGAAGAATAATACTCTGTTCTAATTAATCTTGAACTGAATTTCTAATGACTAAATCTGTGCTCTGCATATTGATTGACATACACATGCCATCAGGTATCTCCGTTTGTAAGCAAGAAATGATCGATGTTTGAGCCTCTGACTACCTGAGAGGTGTTGTATCTTCCAAAGAGAAGAGAAGCTTGCTACCATTTAGCTGTGGTCGCCACCAGAAACTCGTCTCCTCTCCGTGCTGAGGCTATGCGGTGGTGACGAGTTGCAATCAAAATGCTAAGTCCAACAGAATAACTTCATAACTTCTTCTCAAATCAATTAACAAAAATTAGAGAATACAACCCTTGTCGTACTAGCAATGATCTTGCTCAAAAATCCTCTCATTTGTTTAGCCAGCCCACCCTTTTTCTACGCTCTAATTTCCGGGGGCCAGATTTAGCTTGGGTGCCGTTTTAAACTGAATTTTCTGCTTTTTGAGATGTGATTTGCCAATTTTTTCTTGACTCTGAGGCTCAACTCGATTCATCTTCTCTGTCCTATTTTTCTTTCTGGTACTAAAAATGGATTGTAGAAGGTAAATTGTTTGTTACATCGCAAAGAATTATGTACCTCGTATAAACTAGCAAGTATGATGAAAAAGCAACAAGACACAAAACGACTAGCAGAAAAATAAATTTACATTGAAGAATGTACTCTCCATCTTCCTTCGATTGTACGCGGCTGTTGAAGCTTCAAAACTGCAATGAACGGGAAGTAAGGGAAATTGACAAGTGCAAATGCGTTGCCATACCAGGCTTTATAATTTGAAGACCGTAACCACGAAACAGAACAAAGCACCTAAACAACAGAAAGACTTCCTTCACCACCAAATCAGAGGTTTGGAGGAACCAGATCATATCACAGAACAAAGCGAAATAAGCGATCGTGGTGATGCTCCAAAAGCCAGCCAATTGCTTCCTTTGATTGACACACCGACCGTCAAGATTCAAAGAGAGTCAATATTTCTGGCAATACCCGTCCTCACATATTGTTAGTTGGGGCCAAATCAGATGTCCTCGAGGTACGGATAGGAGAGATTTTATTCCAATGCACCAACGTTACCACTACCTCGGTGATGCCGCAAGTAAACCAAAACCATTGGGAAAAAGTGCCTACTAGAACTGAGAAAAACAGAAGGGGTGGATCCCCACTCGACAAGGCAGCCAGACATGGGAGAGGTGAAGGGGAGGCGGCATGGTGGAGACCCCACTTGGGATTACCTCAAGTTACCATGCTTTAGGGCATCTCCAACACGGATCACCAAATCACCCCCAAATGTTCAATGGACAAAAAAGCCATCGAAAGTGACTAACCAAATATGTTCCGACAATCCAGACTATCTGAAATCTCACAATCGGAACCAGATCGAGATGGGGTATGTCGGCGTCCCGAGAGTCTGTTGATGCCGTCAACCCCACCAAAAATCCACCTTTTCCTTTCCCCCTTCTCTCTCCTCTCTT